TATAATCGAATGAATTCCAAAGATAGTAAAATTGATAACTTAATATCTGAGAACTCCTGGTTCAGAGCCACATAATCAATTATTAATGAAAGTCGTGATAAGAATGCTAAGAAATATAATGATACTCGCTTTTTGTTTAATATCTTTTCAGTTTTATCAAATGTACTTCAGCTTTAAACGAGAGTCCCCTCCCAATATTTGTCTGTGAAGTTCAGATAACAGTCGCTAGAATCAAAAGATGTCTTACATCAGTCTACTCTTTCTTCTGATCAACATAATCCTGAGGAATGGAGCCAAGTTGCATGGAATGCGGTTTTACTCAAGAACTCGCTTCTTGTGCTATTCAATAGGATGAGAAATATTCTGCTAAAAAATTTTGTTCCTTATCCTGCTGAAACAATTTGTAGATTTCCTATTTTAACAACAGAAATGTGATTGTTGTTGTTGTTTTTTCTTACCAGTCTTCAGCGTGGGTCAGAGTTCATAAAAATTGTATCCGAGGCAAGAGAGCACGCTTCCTCACTTGTCTTAAGGTAACTTTTATTTGTTCTTCCGTGTTATTTTGCCAGTATGATTGTCAAACATGATTTCTACCAGACTTTTGGGTGCTTAGGAGGATATAGAAAGACCTCCCCGAGACAAGTGAGCAACGCTTCCTTTCAAGCGTCAGGCTGTTAATTTTTGCGTGGCGAATTTTCGGCAGTATTTTCCAGTATTTTTGTTTCAAACTTCGAAAAATCAAAAAATTTAATCAGTTTTATTAGGTGCGACGTAATATATTCCGTGTTCCTTATCCTTTTTTATGCCATGAAATAGGTGTCATTAAATACCATATTAAAAAATATATATGTACCTCTCTGGATTGAGTGATGTACCCCCGGGGGTTGGTAAAATTGACATCTGGTTTTACGGTGAGTACCAGATGCTTATACTAGATAAAACAATAAAACATCACTCCTTTTTTTCGCTTGGCATCTTTTCAGATAAACCGCTTGTTTCACTTCGGCTGGCGATTCTTTGGCTACAACTTTTCAGATACGACTTTAGTGAGTGAAGCTATGGCAAACCCAGAATGAGGGTCTAAGGGTCTGGAATTCCCCGGCCACGTGAAACCGCGAGTAAGCTAGTTTATCGTCTGGGATTTTTCTGATTATAAGCTTAGTTTTCGCCAGGAGGGGCGATGAGCTAATCGAAAAGCGCGGGCAAAGTGGTCACACAGTTTGTCTGGCCAGCGGTTGGATAGTTCAGTGCATGAATCAATAAATACCCAAGATGGCGGACGACGTGCAAAGGGAGCGTATAACTTGTGCCTTCTTTTTGAAACGAAAACACCGTTTTTGCCGAATGACAGTTTCAGGGGGAAGCAAATATTGCGGAGAGCATAGGATTTTTGATGAAGAATCTAAAGTAAGCCTTAATTGATCAAGTTTAAATGTTTGAAGATGTGATGGCTGCCTAAGCTTGTCCTAAATCAGAAGTTATTTCTAATAGTTCCGAAAGGGATGCTAGTTGACCAGGTAAGATTTTCGCACTGTTCCCATGCCATTTTTTTTCTTTATGCAAGAACTGTAAACATGATAAAGTAAGGGGCTGCTCGAGATTCTTACAGATTATTGCAACTAGCATCCCAGAAATTGGTTGACTTTGCAGTACCACTCGCGTTTACGTTAACCAAAAAACGCGAATAAAACGTGCCAAAAATCGCATGCAATTGCGAATAAAAAAATTGTGCGCGTCAAAAAGTCGCACGTGCGTGCATAAGATTGATACATCTGCCTCATTAGTGCGTATGAGGTAGTCCTTTTGTTTGTCTGTTGTTGGCAGTTTATCGTTTTAAAGAATAGGCTACAGTGTAACAGCACTAAAATACTACATGACTAGCAAGACAAGCAAACTTGTTTATTTTAATCACGGTTCGAACTGATCTTCCTGATATGCTGTTACCAATGCGACTTTGTCAAATGACTTATCATTTTCCGAAGGAATTCTTTCATCAATATAGCTATTTCTCACTATGTATTAAAAAAATATGCATCACAACTGCATGGGAATTTGATCAAAATAAATTTATTCTCAGTGTATTGTAATTCGGTAGAAAGCTAAGGTGCCTGTTTGTAACCAGTTGTCATGTTCTGAATGCAAACCCACATGCGAATGATTATTTCATAGCTTTTGTCATCGGTGAACATGCTGTTCTTGAAAACTGGTTTGTTCATCTGGCCATTTATACAAAAACTAAGTTTTACTTGCTTATTTCAATGGTGTTGTGTTTCAGTATGGTTACCTGTCATGACTATGTCTTGTGACTCGTATACAAATTTTTATGGGAAGCTGGATTTGTTTCTTGTTTTGATATTTGTCAAATCATTGATTGATGTTCACCAAATTGCTCTTAAAAAGGAAAGGAAAAATTAAATGCAGGATACATGAAGTTCTAGTTTGTTTAAGACTTGCCAGTGCGTGCAATTAGACAAAAAATCAATACAGCAATAATCAAACTCAGGTCAGTCAAAGCGGTAATCCAAGACTTCAATAAAATTGGTGGCTCCTAAAGGAGCCATTTGTTCATTAAGGAAGCTGTTAGTAGCACGAGGCTCTTCCTTTGTGTTGGAGTATAGCAGGAATAACTTTTCAGAGGGGGCTAATGTATTTGTAGCACTTAGCAGCAGTCACAGAGTCCCAGAACCTATGGATGCCTGCAACAAGTTTGTCCTTGTTGTTTGGCTTGACAAGGCAACGCAAAAATGTTTTCAGTTTGAGCCAGAGAAGCTCTATGTTTTTGGTTTTCGGATGAATGTTGGTCTTTGACGTTGTGATTTACTTTAACTTGACCTTTCCTCGATGTAATATGATGCGCCCTGCAATCAGACATCATCATGTGCAATGCAAAATGAAACTGTTGACATTCTAGTGTGTAAACACTGAAGTGAGTGCTGATTGCAATGAATAAAATAAATCATTATTCACAATCTTAAATTAAGTATATTTCCTTCTGATCCTCATCAACACGTGCAAAAAAATCATAATTTATATACACATCTGACTACCCTGTGTCTGAGCATATGAAATTCGCCTTTGTGGTTAACATATACACAAGTGGTACTATACCTGACACTTATACCAGCATACTCCAGGGTGAAGAGTGTGTTATGAGAGTAGGCTGTCTTACCCTAAAATAGGACAAAATATGACACTATAAACCTGCCAGCGCTTGATATTAGACCTACCAATCCACAGTCCAGCTGTTATCTGCATCTCCTACAGCCTGCAATAACACGTTATAACCCTCTGACTCCTGGATCATTTTCATTGAGCTTTTTTTCTATGTGATTCAAGTCTTAGGAACAAGATGACAAATCCCTTTTTATTTGGTCTCTCCCACAACAGGGTGCTGGACGAAAAAGGATCACTTGTCCTCTGGATAGGAAACAGTAAGAATGATAGATAACTGTAAATTATTCATTAGTCAAGTGATTCCTCTCAATGCTCTAATCAGAGCTAAAACAAAATTCTCTCACATATTGGTTATCACCAGCCCAATTTGAGAGTATATGCATCATGCTTATAATTG